AGAAATCTAATCAATTGTTACTTGTAAAAATAATATAAACATTTGTTATACAAAAGCATATCCACGAAAAATTATTAAATTTTATATAGTCGCGTCAATAATTTAAAGAAAACTAATATAATCGACTGTAGTAGTTTTCAAAGTAATGTAAAACATTATAAAACAAACGCACCAAAAAATCTTGAAAATAAAATAATTAATATTTAACTAGCTTTATGACAATGAAAGGAGAAGTTGATATAATCTCGAACACAGATATACGAAAAATCCTATTTTCTTACCAAGAAGAATACGGTAAGAAAATCGTTTAAGAGAGAAAAAAAGTAGAACGTTAAATTTTTTTGCTGTATACATTCGCCCACACATACTGCATTTTTGCCAGAGCGACATATATTTGCGACAAGAAAAGTTTTAGCGTTCCACAAAAGTCAACGAGAGATTGTGGACGAGTTGGTTCGCGTGCGAGATCAATCGTCAGATACAAGGATGGTTTCGTACCTACACCCTCGATTTTTTATCAAATAATTTCATTGGATAAAACTACTTTTCTTCGAAAAATACTGATTTCTTAAAACTAAGATATGTTATTTTTGTATTATATTTTTATGCATTGTTTTAATAATTAGCTTGTAAAAATTATTTTCAAATACATTTCTTCTAATGTATATAGTTTAGCATTATTAAAATATAAATTTATATAAAAGTATATTTTATATAAATTATATGTATTTGAAAATATATTTTAATTATTTTTTAAAGTTCTGTGTCAAATTTCTTATTTCAATCGAATTCTCGCAATATTGTTAGTAACGCAGAATACATATAAATGTATATGAAAAATAACATAATAAAATGATTTATATTAAAGTTTGTATATTTTGTACATAATTAAAAAGGATGATTTAAAATGCTTTAATAGACCATAAATATAGGTGTATCGATTCTTATGCTTTCCTGCTTGCACTGCGTGATTAAGTACAATAGATCCCGAGTAATTTACAATTTTTGTAGAGTTACCCTTCATTGAATTAAGATGTTTCTTTCGCGTCGAAGTGACGCATTCTTTCAAAAGGTGCACGCAAGGATCGTAATAGGCATGTGTTCTATATTTTTAATGTATTACATAAAAGAAATGCAATTGAAAATTTATGATTAGCTTGTTATCTCGAAATTTTTGTAGACTGCCCTACTATTTTATTGATATGCTACATCTTGCGACTTTCTGTTTTATTTCTAAGGATATATCACGTTTTAAAAATATCAATTTTTGTAGAGCTACCAATGAAAATTTCGAAAGCCGATACACGTACGATTATTCGAATGATTTTCGGAATTTATTTTGCGAGATTAAAATTTGTTCATAATATGGCATTAGTGAGCGAGAGAATTTATAACACCGTCACGCTATTGCAGTCTTGTGAGTCACTGGAACGTAACGGTCAGTAATATCATACAAAATTACGAGGCAAGAGTCTCTCGCGTAGAAAGAATTTAATCTTTATGCAACTAAGAGAATAATAATCGCTCGACGGTCGAACAACGCGAGACACGATTCAACATCAAGATGTTGAAGAACTGATCATCGCTGATGTCCTAATTGATCGACGCACGCAGATGTATAATGTATAATGTGCGGATTTAATAAATAATGAATGAAGTGCAACGTACCCTAAGATCTAGCGCAGATTCATTAATTATTCATTAAAATCTAATTTCGAGAATTAAAGGAAGGAAATCTCAAATGAGCTCATTATTCATAAGGTAGGGAAATTAAGTTTCAAAAATTTTATTGCGATAGATTTAATATACGATAAATAAATTTGAATAATAAATATTGATTTATTCAAGAAGGTTAGCATTTTGCAAAAATCAATCTTTAAAGGTTTAATATATTTTGATTTCCTTCTTTGTTTTTTTGCAAAATATCTTAATAAACCATTTAAGAACTTTCAAGTATCTAAATAAATATTATATTATGTTCAAAATAATCTTTGTTTTAAGTAATCTTTGTACATAAAGCTTATCGAATTAAAAAAACAACTCAATTTATGCAGTTTTCAGAAAAATTGCGCAAAATATTTACTCGATTATATTAAGAGCAAAATAATTAAAGCATCAGCAGAGTAGATTTTAGAATTTTGAAGGAAGTGTTGTAGTAAAATTTTTATAGTTAAAGCATCAAAATTCAGAGCCATTACAGCAAAAAGAATTGAAATTTGGGAATTTTAATTTATTATCTCGTTGAACTAGCCCGCGGTAGTTCGTCGATGTAAATCCTAGCACGATCGATAGACACACCTCGGCCGCTTCGGCCAAAGGTGGAGGTTTATAACTAACCGGGGTGAAGGAACTCTTGAATCTTGCGCGAAACTATAGATAGGACGAAGTAAACTTCTTCGGCATGCTTTGTATCTCAGTTGGCGAAGCGAAAATTTTCTACAAAAGCATGTACGTCTTTTCGCTCGTATCCTACGATAATAAAATCGCGTCATGTCAGTTTCTCAACTGTGAATAATCGTTCTCGGTAGGAATACGTTTCTTGAGATTTCCTGGGAGATGAGCACAATGTGTTCTGTCCTTCATTATATATCTACATTTCCAAAATAATTTAACTTTTCCATATTAGTTCGAAACATCCTTAAGTTTGTGTTTTGCGCAATTTATAAAAAAGATTCGGTGACCGTGAAATTTGCACTATTTATACGACGGAGCGAGAATATCACAAATCTAAATTGCTTGGAGAAAGTTTTAAAGGAGGAGGAAAAGAAAAATGGAGAAATTCTTTCTTTGTCATTCGAGTAAAATAAGTTATACTCTTTTGTAGGGTTATATGTTGAATAGTTGTTATAGTATTTAAATAGCGACTACGCAAGTAGCACACAAAAGTAGAAAGCGCATATCAAGTGCTCTTATATGCAGCGAGGGCAGTCTACATAATGATATAATTCAACATTTCTTAATATTTTTAACATATTATGGAAGTACTTGAAATTTTACTTCACATCCCTGTCTTCCTCTATTAAGAAAAATAATTAATTAATTGCAACAACGTCTATCGCGCGAAATGAATTACACGATTACGCGCAATGAATTAACCAACAGGCTAATTGCCAAAATTAATTATCTTGTCAAGAATCTACCAGTTCGCATAAATCACGCGAACATAATTAAGTTTAACAGTGAATCCGTCTTGAGAAATACATACAAAGCTACGAAACTCGTATCAAACTTGGAAGTATCGTAGAACGATGAATAAATAACTGCATGCGCAGTGGAACCGCGATTTGCTTTGAGATATCTTGCGAAATTACTGCACTATTACACGATACGACGAGTGACGCGAATTACCGTATAGGTACGTTCGTCTCGATACAATCACCCCATAGGATATACAGTTTTGGCCAAAACGTATTACATATTTTTAATAAATTGCAGTGAACTAAATTATTCAACTCTGTATAGTTTTAAAAAATATCAAATTTTTATATAGAATTATAGTAAATTCAGAATTTAATTCAGAAATAAACTGATTCCAATAAAAATTTAGATGCATGTTCCACTTTAGACTTTGCATTTAGTATAAATATATTATAATACGTATTTTATTGTTGTATTAAGTTCTTTCTACAAAAAGGATATTGAAATATAAAAATACGAATATTTTTAAAATTATTTTCTTTCTATTTATTTATTTTTTAAATTTTTATCATAATATTTAATTTACATGAATACTAAACACAATCGGATTTATTATAATTTAATACAAATATTTATTTACTTTTGGCCAAAGCTGTACACAACAATATGTCAAATGAGTGGTTATAAGAGACCAAGTTTTTAGAGTATTATTATAGTACGATAAAATATGCGACTAATCATTTCATGTCATACAACTGTTCCTTAAAACAATCTCAAGTTTACATCAAAAGAAAATGTGTTCCAACAATGTGAATAAAAAATGAGCATAATTTGAAGGCTATAAACATAATTTTTCCTCTTATTCTAATAACTAGCTATATATATATTTGATTCTATACTCTCTTTCTAAATCAGAGCTTACAACTTGCGCTTAAAATCAAAATTTAAAAATAATTTATATATTTATTTTTAGAAGAAAGCTTTTCTCTATTTCTCTCAATATTTCCAAGAATTTCAGACAAGTCAAGTAAAATCAGATATTTTAAAGTGGTTGCCAGAATTAGAGGATTTCGAGAGTCTAACGGTCATTGTTATACTTTTCGGTGCAATCGTGTTATAAAAGTGATTTAGCTAATTGAGAATGATGTTTTGTTGCCGTGTCTTACCGAAATCTGCGAAAATTTCATCTTCTGATTTATCACGACTGATATCGAAATTCTACTGATATATTAGATTATATTTGGAGCAAATAGCCTTAACTCTTTCATCCATCGCATGAGCAATAATGATATAAATTAACAGAATTATGCGTGTAAACTTTAATCATCGCATCACGCGATTTGCGAAATAGAAAAATTTATAAATTCATATTGGTCGAGAGGAATCAAGTGGAGATTGTGGCTTTATAAATTCAATAAACACAAATTGTCTTTTTATCAAAGTACAGATCTCCATAGAAACACACATTTCTGTATGTTATATTAATATATCATATCGATTGACAACGTATAATTATTGTAAAACAAATTAACGTTATAGTCAACTACATATATGGATTAGGTTTATATTTTTCATCCGCACGTTATTACTCTTTCCGACGTTGATTATATTTAATTACAGTTTAAATAGGGTATATATACGTCGAGAGATGCTATAAAGATAGAAAGAAGAAAGAGAAACAAGTATAGAACAAATGTAGTTATAAAATATATAGCTATATATATATATAGTTATAAAAAATGTAATTATAAAAAGAAAGAGTCTAGATTTGTAATAAACTTTAACACATAATTAAAAAATACTTATAAGTACATTTATTCATGCAATATTGTATATAATTAAGTAAAATCAAATTTACTCACGTTGGCTCCCCGTTCTGTTCGATGTGGACGATGTTGCCGCTAAGTGTCTCAATCTCCTGTCGTTTCACCACGTGCACCCCCGTCTTCTCCCTCGGCGAGGACACCCCTCTAACCGTGTTCACACTCACTCCTGTATCCGTCGACCTCACGCTCTCGATGGAGCCCGTGGACGCGCCGGTGGACGATTTCAGGGAGGCGTCGCTACCGCGATTTCGGTTCCTCGTTCGTGTCACAGCACCACTGTTTACACTCGCGTTCACTGTACCGATCGCGGAATTCACGTTGTTATTACTTGCCGTTTTGCTGTTCGTTGTGTTATTTGCCGTTGCCGCGTTACTCATCGCCGTTTCCGCATTTTCGGCCGTCCTGGCAATCTTTGAGTTGTTCTCCATCACGGTTGGCATCTTATCGTTCATCGGAATCTCGCCACTGGATGCTATCTTGCTCCCCGCGGAGCTACTCTTCGCTTCTATCGTTTCCGGTTCTTCCAGAGTCTTTCCGTCGCTTTGCTTAGATCCACGGGTGTTCTGATTGTTTTTCCCAGAACGCTGGTTTGCAGAAGATTGATTGGAACGCTGATGAGCTGAATCTTCACCGTTTATCCTGACAGTTTTCGTCGATTGACCGATGCTGCCGCTCTTCGTATGTCCTACGGTGTTGTTTTCTGCATTGGCGGAAGAGTCTTTATTATCGCTTCCAGAATTATTACCTGTTTGATTTGCCTTGACTGATTGATTTTCGACGGATTTCTGGTTCATTGATGTTGTATTTTGCGTCGAACCGGGCATTGGCGATTCCCCCTTGAGTGCGGGAGAGACGGATCTGGACATTCCTTCAGATCGTTCCTTCTGATTCGGCTCCACGAGAAGCGTGTTCGCGTCGATGTGCAGGGGCTGCACTGCGGTAGTCGTCGTGGTATTCACCAGACGTTCACTAGATGTGCCGATCGTTTGAGGAGTTTGCTTCAGTAGATTTGCGAGATCCATTTCATCCATATTGGCGGAGGAATTCCCATTTATCTCGTTTTCTTTCGAATTCGGTTCGGGCGATCGACCATTCTGAAGAGATTGGCTCGCTGTTTGCTTATCACTTTTGCCTTCAGCCACAGCTTTATCCATCTTTACGAATCTTTCCGAGCTCTCCTCGGGCATCGAAATAAACCTGCTGGTCTTTGACGAGCCATTCGTCTTCAAAGGAATCTTGGACGGCGAAAGAACGCGTTCCTTGCTGGAGTTTCTATTCTGCTTATCTCTTCGAGTGGTAGCGACATTGTTCTTCTGCGGCGACATCTTCGACGTCTTCATAGAAGATTGTCTCGAAGTAGAGTTCTTACTTCTTGTGTTCGATTGAGAGGTCGCATTCTCCGGTTTCGTCGGGGTGCCTTGTATCGGCGAAAGTCGCGTCGAAGCTTTCGTCGTCGTTTGTCGACGCATCGTTGTCGAATTGCTGCTGAGATTACTAGTGGAGTTGGAAATAAAACGTGCTTTAGACTCGGCAAAATTTGTACGACTCTTGGAGTCGGATTTATTCAAACGCGTTTTAGAATCATTCAGTCGCGTCTTCGAGTCGCTCGCATTTAATCGATTTCGCGAATTCGAGACATTCAATCGCGTCTTTGAGTCAACTCGACGACCGATCTTCGGTGATGGCGAACGTTCGTCGGCTTTCGTCAAGGAAGTGGATCGTTGACGATAAGTAGGCTGTGGTATCAAACTTCTTCTAGGACTGTTTTGTTGCGATAGCGAAACTGTAAAAGATAAATGATTTGACAATAACAAGATCAGATCATTAGTCCGAAGTAAAGTATAGATTTTGTCAAAGCAGCTGTCATTATTAAATTTTTATTTTGGACATGAAATATGTATAATAATAAATTACGCTTAAAAAAATCAAATTCATTCCAACAACAGAAAACTTCGAAAATCATCTACACATGTGATCTGAAAAATTACATCTTAATACCTTATATTATATATTTTTAAATATTTTTAAAATTTTGAAAGCTTGCTATATGAAAATTTGATACGCCGTGATGATATTTCCAACCTACCCCTTCGCTCGATTCTGCGTCGACGTCCGTCCCCGGCGACTTCCGGCGACTGCGGTCTCGACATTGAGCGAGGAGGTGGTCCCTTGAAACCACGTCCACGGAAAGGCGAGACTCTTCCCGTGGACAAGTTGGACGTCGCATTGTCTGGACTTGTCGGTCTAGACTCGGCAAGTATCACGAAACTGGTACGACGATGTGCTCTGCCGGAGGACGTCGATGACGGAGCGATCTTATAAGGCTCGGGCGCGCGCGGCGGCGGCGGCACTGCCGCGGAAATCGTCGGCGATAGATAAGCGGTGTCGGGGACAGCCAACACCCGAAAGGATGGTGGGCCCTGCCGCGCGACATGGCCGTCATGATCGGTTCGCCTCATTCTTACGAGGCCCTATCTTATCATTGGAAAATCATGACGTAAATACAATTGATCTGTCAAAATTAGTTGCATTAATCCCCGAATTTAAGAATTGAAATAATGATTTTAAAAAATAACTAAAAAAGGGAAGATTCTCTTTTCTCATTCTATCGGACGAAGAAAACTACAACTTTTTATTATTTTTAAATGATAAGTTTATACATACACATAATTATAATATTAAATAATAGAAGATACTAATATATAATTTATAGTATCCATACAATAAATATATGTATTGCATTCAAATTCGGGGATACTGCGCATATATCCATTATCAGATAATATCTAATGAATAATTTATTCAGTTTCACATCTAGATTTCTATATTTAATATATGAAAAATTAATTTAGAGATTATCATAATAATTTTCAATGTTTAACACATGTTATTTGTTTCTTGTTTCATTGTATTTTTCTGAAAAACATTTTTATGCCTCCATTATTCTTTGTTTTCTAATTTATTCTTTTTAAACTTAAGCTTTTGTACCTGGTGCCCTTCATGCAGATCGCTGAAGTGAGAGGGACGCCAAGATCTGCCGTTACTCTCACCTGCAAAAAGTAGAAATCTTTACTGAGAGAGATCTTTATGGAGAGAGTGCATAACCATTTTAAGGATAAACGGAGAAATTTTTATTTCGATGGTGATTGAGATAGTGCGAGATTGCGGTTCCGCGCAATGGTGCATGCGCGGATGGAAAATGCAATTGCAGAAATAGAAAGAATCGGTCAACCATTTTAATCAATCGATAGCTCGCAATAGTTGTGTTGAAATAAATTAAACCATTTTCGCATTTTTTTCTGTATTTATTTCGCTCATCGAGATAAAAACAAAATATCCATCCAACATTATTTCAATATTGATTTTGTCTTTGCAATATTATAATAAAATTTAATTAAATTTAATTAAATTTTTAATTAAATTTAATTTATTAACAAAGCTATGTCGAAGCAGAAATCAAGGAATAGATCATGAGAATAGATAGCAAATTTTATTCGAGATGTTAGATGCTTTTTCCCTCCTTTAAGGAAGACTCGACGCGGCCAACAATTACGAACGCGCGTGTAATTATTCGTTCTGTGCGGCTTAATACTCTTCTCGACAATGAGAGTATCCACAGCGGATACGTGAAATACATGTTATTCACGCTCTCGTAGACGATCTGTCTGAGCAAATTTATCGTGCTCACCAGGACGCTGCTGAACTACATTCTCGACGCGGTCGACGCATCACACAAAGTTATTTCTTTATAATAAAGAAGTTGCACCAAATATGTACTTTCCAAATCCAACAAAGCCGAAACTCAAACTACTTTCAATCGTCATCGAACTGCCCGAGTGAAACAACTCATCGCGTGATAGCGATAACCTGTTGATAATTTTTGACTGCGGCTAAAATTTGTTATTTTCGTCCCGATATCGTCATTGAATAAATTAAATTAATTCGATCGTGCTGTACTTGATAGTATTATTTTTTTTAATTGTACAATATTATACATTTAAAAAATATACTTTAAATTTTTACTTGAACGAGAAAATGTTGTAGAAAGAAAAAAAAGAAACACGCGCACTTTTCTTAAATTATTTAAAATATATAAAATGTAATGAAAATTAAAAAGGATATTCATATAGACATATAAAAATACGAACTAGTACTTAAATGACCAAATATATCTTGATTGCGGCAATGTTTTACACTTAAAATTTAGATCAGGACAAATGTGGGAAGTGTCCGTTGTCTAATTTATCGCACAGCTGCTTGTTGCAATAGCAACCGAGTGATTTATAAGTATCATTCGCCACGAATCAATGGACAAACAAGTACGAGCATGAATACATCGTAAATTCTAAAACCAGAGACGGACTCAAAGCACGCGCGTACACAAACGGCCTCCAGCAATTAATTCCTTTAAATTGTAAATAGAAAGCATGTATAAGTATATAAATCAATGAGTACAAAATATGCAAGGATTGCAGATTCGAAATCCGCTGGAGAAACAGTTTTATAAAATCGCTAATATATTTATTCTCTCTCTAAAACTAATATTTTCATGTTCTTATTTAATCTTATATGTAATTTATAAATTTTCTTTGTTTAAATCTAAATTTTTGTGGCTTTTTTATTGTTCAAAAATTCAAGTTAAATCATATTTGATCTATTTTTTGATGAATTTTTGTACGCGCGTAGAAACTAATTAATCATTGGTTTACTCTGTGGCTTTTATTCGACAATAAATTCGTGTGGTTTCCATAATTTTCCGCATCCGCTTATATACTGATGCACCGTGCACTCTACGTAATTACCATCGTATATCAGTAAATGCACTGTGAACAATTGCATTGTGAAAAAGATACAGCGTCCGAAATAATACAGATTTCTTAGTGCATACTTTCACTCATCATGACAGCTTCTAAATTGTCTCATTAAATGAAATTGACGAGATACCTTTTGTCATTATCATTATAAACTTCATTATCATTGAAATTTGAAATTTCTATCATTATTTGGCTACGCTACATTTAACGAATAGAAATTTAGTAATTTAAAGAACGCGAGAAATATAGAAATTTGTAATTTGTTTGTAATCGTATTCATTTTATCATTAATTAAACATTATTTTGTTAACATACATATCGATATCATAATAAATGTAAAATTTGTATATGAAACTGTTAAAACATAAAACATATTAAGTATTTCTCGTATTGCATTTAATTACAAACGTTTTTGTAAGAGGGAAATTAATTTTATCGCATTGCAAAATAAAACTTTTATTTTAATTATATATCACTTCTATTTAACGTATTAATAAACATTCAGTATAAATCTTTCTTAATATAGGTTTAGTATCTGAATCAGTATCTAAATATATCATTAAAGTCTTGAAAATTCGATAGTAGATAAAGTCGATAGTATTTCATATCACTTTATGTAATTTTGGATTTTCGAAATATCAGTGTATCTTTCATGCGCAAAATTTTATGTCATAACGCAACTATATTTACTTGCTTCGTCCTCGATTTCGCTTATTATATAACGTTAGACTTTCAGTCATTGTCTGAATAGCGCACCTTTAATATGTAAAATGTAGGACTAATATATAGAGTCATTTTAAATTATAGAGTCATTGTTTGAATACCGCACTTCTACATAACGCGCAGATTTGACCTTTAGTTATTGTTTGAATACGGTAATCGATCACCAGTCCGACGCTTAAATTTAAATAAGAACATCGTGCATGCAGACCCGATTGCCGCCACGGTTTCGAACATAAATTGCAAAAGCATGTAAAACAAATTATATACCGAATATTCGCCAATCAATTATGATGGCGAGTGCAATAAAACTATCAGTTTGATTATATTTGAAAATATTAAACAAAACTAAACTTGTCTAGTCGAGCCAGATAGCTTTAAATAGCTTCATAATGAATTGAATAAAAAATTCAATTCTTTAAGAATAACAGAAGTGAAATATAATTAGAACAAAAGTTTTATTTTGCAATGCGATAAAATTAATTTCCTTCTTACAAAAACGTTTGTAATTAATTTAGAAAATTTTATACAGATAATATTTGCTTTTGATCTAAAACTTATTTTAAAATGTTATTTTAAAATTTTCTTTTAAATGTTCGAAGAGTTCTAAAAAGCATTATTTTTATAATCCTTGCACAAACTATCTAAAATATTACTTGTATAATTTTATCCTATTCGACAAAACAATATATTACAGTATTTCTAAATCTTTTCCACAATTTTGTTTCCAACACAGGCATTCAAAGAATTTTTCGTCTCACGTCCTAGTGACCGATAAAGCGCGAACAATTTGCCATGATGAAACCGTGTGCGACTGTCGCTGATATCCCGACAAAATCGAGGAAGAAGTGCACTAAGCTGCGTCCTTAATTAACATCCATTGTATAATATTTAATTAAGTCGCGCACATCAATCGCGTCGCCTCGCTTTCCACACACAACAGCCGCGAATTCGCCGCGGCTTCTTCTTCCGCGCAATAATGCGTTCTGTCGCAACCGCGTATATCGCGTGTATCACGTAGCAAATCATAAATCTCGTCTCGCGCCTTGAAGGAGAGCGGAAAACGTTAGATCGCGGCATATGCTTCGGGGTCAACGACTCGCTTTTACACCTGCATTTAGCGGCCGGACGGCGGAACATTTGCGTAACCGTTGATTCTTTCTCCCGAAACGCTTTAATTGCTTTGGTCGTCCATTAGGACACAACTAATACAACAGTTTTTTTCAACCGTTAAGCTACTGGCCTTGAAAATATTCTCTAATTAATTAAAAAAAATGGATCTTTTTATTATTAGAAAAATAACCGTTCTTATGGATCTCTCTTCAGGAAAATCAATTCTTGGCTTCTTTCAGTTAAGATGTATTCATTTTATTTTTAAATGAGCTTTGTACGCGTTATGTGCTGGAACATGATTTAATTTAATAAAAATATATTTTTTTCATTGTATTATTTCCAGATTTATGATAAGTGCAAATTTTAATTGGAAATTTATAGATGAAAGAAAAAGATTATAATAACACTTCTGCAATTTTAATCTAATATCCGATATTTTTCATTGAACTAATGTTTATATTTTATGAACTATTCTTTGAATAAAGTTAAAATATGTATATATATTTTTTATATTCATATATTCCAAATTTTTTCATAATTCATATATTCCAAAATTCTTCTCCTTCAATTTTATACTACTATTAAAATTCCATATTTTGTTTCTGCAAGAGACGTAAAAAGCTCGATATGTGTATCTTTTCATAAAAAAAAGATATTAATGCTAGTGCGTTTAATTTTAACAAATTCGTAATATCGTAATAACGACAATATACGTAACTTTTCGAAAGTGTGGTAACAAAACTTCCAGTGATCTGAAAAGTCTTCCTGATGTATGCAGCAGTTCACGCACCGTTTGCACCGAGAAACGATGCGTCTACTATGCAACAATTAATACAGGATTGTACCGACCATTTTGTGCAAAATGATCGGGTATTACGCGAATGTTACACCGCCTGGAACTTCCTCGCTCTATAAATTCAGACGTACCGGTTTTTGACTACGTCTACCGCAAAAGCGATTTCTCACGTAGAAGCCTCAATAATATATATGTGTACGTATATATTAAATAATTGAGAAATCTATTGGAAATTTAAGTTTCGCAAATACATACTTAAGCGATTTTTGAAAGCGCTTATCACTTATAAATTCGCTTTTACTGGCTAATCTGGAATGCTATGATCTGGCATATTAAATAGTAGAAATTAAACCAGGAAAACACAAGGAATGTCGCGCCAAGAATATACATACATAATGATATCTCTTCTCAATTTTATATCAATAAAATAAATTGATATTTCGAACCTGAGATTTAACTTCAAATTTCACTTTAAAGCAAAAAATCTTTTTATTTAAAAAATTGGATTATATAAAACAGGATATATTCTTTCTCTTACATATATTTAAATATATCTTTGTAAATGTATATATGTGTACATACATTATATGTATATTTACATATATATTTTATAATACATTATATGTACCCATGTATATATTTTTAGTATAAGAATATATCTTATATTCTATTAATATAAACTTGAATTTAAGAATATTATATATTTTCTTTTTTGTAAATATCAAAACTTAAAAATAATAAAATTTTAAATATTTTCCTCCTACTTTAAAAATTGTAGGAATAAGGATGTAGCTCATAAAGTTCTATTTGGCTCATAAAGTTCTCGCTTCGATTGTACCGCAACGGAAGAAATTGAGTTTCGCTCGAAGAAACTGGCGCGAATTAGAATGCATTGCGATGCGCAAGATAAAAAATGCCTTTTCATACTGTTGCATGTGTGTTTGAATGTATTTTTCGCTCTAATCCAAAGATCATAAAATATAAATTTTTACGCGCACATGGACAGGCGCATCGAACTCGCGTGCAAGTCATTATCACGACTATATACTCCAAAGATGATTGTTGAAGAATATTCAAGGCCGCATGGTCATCGATAAACGCAGCCTTACAGTGCAATTTTAAAATATCCTATAATCTCAACTTATTAATTTATATTTGGATTTCTCAAACTATATACATTTTTGCGCAATTTCAAGAACGACATTTATTTTTGCTGTTGCGTATTGTTTATTATTTTCATGTTTCTTAATTATATGTAGCATTTTAATTATTATCCTGTAAGTATATTAAATAAATTTGTTATTATATAAAAATACTTTTTTATTTTGTATTATTTATACTTATTTACTACTCTCTTGCTAATTCTTTTTTGTTTGAATTAAATTATGCTTTAAATTGTATCGCGTAAATCAAATAAACAAAAGTTCTGATTGATAATGTAGCAAGTGTGAAGAATTAATCGTCCTCGTTAAAGTATAAAATAGCCCCAACATTTTGAAAGGATCGATACTTAAGAAGATTTTTCGTTCGCACGAGGCGCCGCCTCTTATATCGATCTGATTCAAATTCAAGTACGTAGACCGCGCGAGCAAACAATCAAACGTGTAAAACTTTCCCGGGCTGAATGAACGAAGCGATTCACGCGATTTTTTAATCTGATTCAGTGAATTCTTAGCGATATAATTGTTACGTCTCTGGGAAACTGTGTCGATCTCAATCATTCAAGACCAATTAAATCACCTTTGAATTAGGTTTTATCCAATGCCAATAATAACATGTGTATTTACATATAATTATTAAAATAGTACTATCAAACTTAGAGCAAATAGGTTATTCAGTTGTTTAGAAAAACGCAAAGAAGCCATTTTTTATGAAGGCAATCGAATCAAAAAATCATTAATATATATGTTAATACATATTTTAAATGTAAATTGTAAACATATTATATATATATACATACAGTATTTAATATAAAAATAAATACTGTTATATGTAAATTATTATTCTGCAATCTCATTAAATTAACATGTCTATCATAAGTTTATAATTAAATAAACAAATTGCGATTGACCTTGTCAGTCTAATAATAATTAAATGATATTGATAACATAAATTATAAAACAAAATAAATTGTTAAAAGTCGAATTATATAAATATGTATATACACATCATAAATAAATAAATATATATATATATATATAATATATATATATACACTTATTGTTAGATAAAAGAACGTTATGTCATTACATAATTAAAATTCTAAATTTACATTGTAACAGTACAATTAAAAGACAAATATATTCCTCTTTATTTGTTAATTTTTTTAAGTTAACAAACAGTTTTCGTGTCTTATAATTGCTATTAATTAACATTACTATTAGATATATTATTATTCATGAATCATACACACATATATTCTTTTTATTTTAATTTAATTTGTAATTTGATTATTTAAAAAACGTAAAAATCTGAAAGTTTATAGAGTTAGAAATCTTAAAACTGGAAAAATCTTAAAGCTTGAACAATCATTTCCTCTCCACATTGAAAATCATCAAGCATGCATCACTTAGCGATCGTTCTCCAGATCCGACGCAACAATCACCCCTAAGCGCACCTTACACGAGGACGACCTTTAACACTTTACGAGTGATTTCGATTTATTTCCTCAAAAATTATTCTAACATTTTCTGTCACAAATATCGAAGAATATCCAGCTTAAAATCTGTAACTGTTTATTGGTCAGATTCTTTTCAAAGTAAATGGGGGAATAAGAATCAAATGACAATTTACCCGCTTTTTTTTCGTTGTAAAAGACAACAAAAGGGTCACGTTGCCATTCGACTTACTGACTTTACGAAGGTAGTTGTCGCGATCCACCGTCTTACCTATCTCGCAGATGGATGGAGATGTGGTATCGCGTAGCTCGGCACCATTTACGGCGGCAATTTACCCCCCGAGCGAAACACGCATGCACACGAGGGTTGCGGAGCCCGAGGGAAGCGCGCGCGCGCAGATCGCGTCCTCGGCCTCGTCGTCTTTCTCAACCTCCTCGGTCCCGACTTCGCCGCGTCCTTACGCGAACACGAACGCGTCCTCACTGATGCGGGGTCGCTTGCCGCGACTTATAGCGCCCGACCGTCCGCGGGATACGCGTCGAAGGTGGTCACTCGGGGAAGCGCGGGCGCGTTGACCACTAACACGCGCATTCTCTTCTCTGCAAGTATTAAAAAGTCACGTTCGCCAGCTTGACTCATCCATTCCTCTGCGAGGAATTGAAAAATCAGCAGAAAGCGAATACACGCAGCCTCTCATCTCTCTCGTGAAATTATTAATCAAATTGCTTTTTTAGAGAAAAATATTATTGTATTTGTGGAAGAGTATTTTGGAATTTCAGCATTTAATATTTTAGTAATAAAGTCAATTAAATTTCTGTTAGAATTTTAATATGAATTGAATAATATATGCTGTTGTGCGTTTTTCTTTCATTGCTCCATCAAAACTTAATTTATAAATTTTTCTTGATGAATGCATTACCACTGCACTAAAAAACTGCAATAATAAATATTATTAACAAAAATAATTCTACAATACATTTTACAAAAAATAATGCTATTTATACATTATTACTTTTCAAGTCGACAGCATTTTATATCCAACTTATATTATGAAGTACATTTAGTTCTTCGATATCCTATCAAAGTAAATTTAAAATAACAATACATTGTGTAACTTTGAAATCTAAATATAATGTAGCTATATCCTCAATCATGAATAATCTGTTAATATTTTTTTTACTAATTTCTACATACAGAGACATTATATATTAAACATAATCTTATTTATATAGTATATTATTAATGCTGTGCAAAAATAATAATGATGTCATAAATAATCAATTTTTTTTTAAAGAAAGGAAAGAGATTAAGTATATATAATTTACTTTAATTTATTCTACGTATATTATAATGTAATATGTTTTACATGTATACCTATAGATATTTTATAAAAATGAAACAAAAATGTTTATGTTTATACGAGAATTGTACAGAAAAATAACACTTTTTTGCGGAATCATTCCTATAACTTGAATAATTTATCATGTCGAGCACAATCAGTCTCGGTAAACCATTCATGAAAGAGAGAAACTTATATGAAAGTAGCACCCAATTTCTAGAATTTTTGTATGATTGGTAAACAGTTCTGACTTTTCTCTAAAAAAAATGTTTTGGCAATTAGCAAATAGAATATCAAAATTTAACTAATTTTTTAATTTAAAAAGATTTAGTTGAAATTTTTTTAGATAATTTTGAATATTATTGTGGATGATATTTTGAATAATATTTTAAATTGGATAATATTTTATCAAAAAGCTTTATGATTTGTAAATCAATTTTGAAATAGAAAAATTATTGCTAATTGTTGCTAAAGCACCACATATATTTTTTCATAGATCTTTTTCTTTTACATTTAATCGTCAGAACATTTTTAAAAATGCCTCAGAAATTCTAGAACTCTTTCAAGAAGATCTAGCTTATACTCTTTTATCGATCATATCCAAATTATCGTATCTTCAGAAAAAATAGAGAGAGCGAAAGAGAGAGAGAGAGTCCACGAGTTTCACACGCAACACCTACATCCACCCACGTGTTCTCCACCCTTCCGCCCTCACCCTCCAGAGTTGCGCAGACCTTGTGAAGAGTGCGACCAAGTAACGCGAAAATACGCAGCCTAGTACGTCGCATCTATGTACCTAATCGAACCTCTTAAGTGAGGTTGTTCATTTATTTATTAAGCAGCTAGCTCCGAATTATTGGAACATTAGCTTGATTGAACAAAACTGGGCACGGCCTATAATACACAGGATCTACACTACCTTCCCTATGTCATCATCTTCGAGCTAATACTTCGATGCAGGCTGTATGTTATTACACGCGACTAAAGCCGTAATCAAATATTTAACTATAAAAAACCTTCCAATAACATTTATCCTAACTTGCAATGTTTTATTAGCACACAAAAACATTATCTAAAATATAAATTTTGGATAGTAAAATATATATACTTACATATATAAAAATGTTCAAAATGTAAATTTTTTTAAATATTCTGAACATGATAATATTCAGAAAGAGAAAGAAAGTAATATGAAATTAAAGTGTTAAAGTACTTAATTAGAATATAAATTAAAAAATATAAATAATGCTTTGTAATATACATATAATTTTAAAGTTTTGAAATTCGAAAATGAGTATGTAAAAAATGTAACATATAATAAAAAGTATAACATACATATGACATCATTTTAAATATATTTTGTGTATGTATAGTTAGAAAACTATTGTATACCCGGCTATTCAAGCATAGCTCGGAAACTTTGGAATTATTCCCGTACTCACAGATGTGATCTTTCAGAGAAAGCACAATATTCAAACAATTATAATAAATTATGGTTGGGTAATTATTAAAAGTTCCGAAGTTTCAGAAGTTTATCAGAATAAAAATTAAGACATAAAAAGCATAATAGAAAAATACAAATATATATAAGCATTTTTGAGAAAACGTTTAATAAGTGTTACAATTAAATAAGCAATTAACATAAATTTAATGTAAATATATTAGCACTGCAACAATTTGCTAACAAAATTAATATTTAATTGTTCCAATGAAATTACGCACACGAAGATGGAAATTATTGGAACCTTGAAAATGTTTTAATAATAATATATTGCAAAGATATATATATATATATATATATATATATATATATATATATAAGGTAATACCTTATATAAAGAGAAAATAAATATTTTATGAATTTATCAATTTTATTTACTTATTTATTATTTCTTTATATCTGATAAATTGATGCTCTAATAAATTTCTATTTTCTAAATTATATTTTAAAAACTTAAAAATTATTTTAAAGAATATAATATATACATAATAAGAATATTAAACATTAAAGGCAATTCTCATAGATATATTTTTTACATAAAAAGTACATTTTTGTGTTTTAAATACCATATGTATTTATTAAATTGAAATTACCGAGCTTCTCATTTATAGAATGCAAAATTCTATTAGATATCATTAAACAAGTTAAGAGCTAGATTAAATTTAATATTAAATAAAACGTTTTCTCAAAAATTGCAATATATTCAAAAATATTTTACTAATTTATATTAAATTATTTTATACTTTTTTAAATAAAATTTTTAAATTAATCTTATTTGAACAACAATGCTAATCATCTATCAAATGTGATATTTAAAAAAAAATATATATATATATATATATAATCCCATTAAAAAAAGATAAAAATATGATTGCCATGTAGTTTGGCAAATTGATATTTGGCGATAAAGTTATTCAAATATTTATACACTTAATATATATATAAATATACATATAAAATTATAAATAATATAATTTTTGTATGTTTTTATAGTAATATATGATTTATTTTTTTCACACCAATTTTAATTAATTTAATTAAGATATAATGAACAAGAATCATTAGAATAAATTTAATCAACAAGAATCATTGAAATTAATTTATTCATATAGCGAGAAAATGATATTATTATGATGTACGTATTTTGAAATCTCTTATTAATTTAAATGTTAAATGTTAAATTATTGTGAATGTCTTCAAAAGAGTTATTACTGTATTTTTTATTCACTCTTTGACTTCTCAAAAAACCATAAACACTTTATATAGTTATAGCCAACTAAATAGGCTATTATAGTTATTTGCAATTAATATTTATCACTCACCAGTGCTGAATTTTTGCAAATCTTGTCAAATTTCTATGAATTTCGTTGAATTTTAGAGACAACTATCAAGTGTCCCAATATCCAAATATCAACTCATAAGAAATTGTAAGAATCTGTAAGAAAAATAATATATATAATATAAAAGTTATAATATAAAAATCACAGAGTACAAAATTTCAAAAATATCCAAATTATAAATCAAAATGTATTTATTTAATAAATTTAAAAAATTATTACATAAATAAATATATAATAATGGCATCTCCTTAGACATGGATTTTTTTTCTTTTATTAATTAATTAAACGCTTTGAAGTATTTATAATTTTAGGTAGAGTGCACTCATTGTTTCAACGCGCCGTGTAATCGCGATTTTATTCGCCACTTTTATATTAGGATTTATAAGAAAATTGGACTTTTCTGCATTTTGCGAATAATTAAAAAAAAATAATGCTTACGAAAATTATTGATCAATCTGGCACAACTTGTTTTATGATTCGATTTTTCTATATTTTTATTTATTTTCGACCTGCGCACACACACTTCATGTTTCACGTTACTCTTGCAAATGCGAGACGCTCATTTTAGTATAAATACTCGGTACGGGTGGCGCTGTGAATCATCGCCGTATGTATATGTATGTATACACACACACACACACACACACACACACACACACGCACGCACGCACGCACGCACGCACGCACGCACGCACGCACGCACGCACGCACGCACGCACGCACGCACGCACGCACACACACACACACACACACACACACACATATAGAATCACAAGTGCACCTAACAATAAAAATGGCATAATTGATTTTTAAACAGAATTTTGTTTCGATCAAAACAACACGTAGACATAATAAATTTGACTGTAAATATGTAAATATGTATATCTAAATATGTGAACTCGAGTCTATACATGTAGATACAAGCATCGAAAGACCCAATGACCCGATTATTTTTGCCGAAAAAATCACTCGATTTTTGTCACTTGAAATTTCGGTCTAGTATGCAATAAAATTACGAAATGATATCATAATTTATTACAGAAGACGATGCTATTACAAATAATCGCGTTAATTTGGTTCGATTATCTCTTTGTCGGCTTACCTGTACGGATATTATCGGAGCTCGAAATTTCTGCTTCTTCACAACATGGCGATCCCGCGCGAAAAAGAAACATGAAGTTGCCGCGAAAGCGCACGCAACAAGCAGGATGTGCAATTGATAAAAAATGACACATAGGTAGTAAACTCGATTATAAATCAATCGATATATATAGTCGATTCTAATGT